AAAAAAAAATAAAATAATGTGATTATTTTTTCAGAAAGCGAAGACTCCCACGACACGCATGTAGATTGGGTACTAAAAAGCCTTTACGAAGCCAACATGAAGTAGAAAAATCGCTCTTCTTTAAAAAAAGGGTACGTTTTCTGGGATTCATAGTCACCTGTAGCGGTGCAACAACCGACCCAGAGAAGGTCAAAGCAATTCAAGACTTCCCGGAACCAAAATCCGTATCAGTCCTCGGTCTGACAAGCTACTATAGATGTTTCATAAATGACTTCGCAGCAATCGCAAGACCCATTTCAGACATCTTATAATGCGAAAACAGAAGTGTTAGTAGGCATAGGTCACGAAACATTCCGGTACAATTCTCTGAAACGCAGCAACAAGCCTTTCAGAAATTGCGAAACATATTGGCATCCGAAGACGTGATGCTGAGATACCCAGATTACAAAAAGGCGCTCGATCTAACGACGGACGCCTCGGCCTATGGTATTGGCGCAGTCCTATCTCAAGAAGGACGCCCCATAACAATGATTTCGAGAACATTAAAAGTCAGAGAAATCAATTATGCCACCAATTAGAGGGAGTTATTGGCCATTGTATGGGCTTTGGCCAAGTTACGGCACTACTTATAGGCCGTAAAAGACATAAATATCTTTACCGACCACCAGGCATTAACCTTTGCAGTATCGGAATCCAATCCGAATGCAAAAATCAGAAGGTGGAAAACTCGCATTGACGAGTCTGGTGCGCGAAGAAAATCTTGTTGCCGATGCACTTTCTCGGCAGCAACTAAATGTGATAAGGGAACAATAGGCTGAGTCGTGCGCTGTCACTATACACAGCTGTTTTCAGAATCAGATAACGCTTTCCGTTAAAACGCAGCTTCGTACTCTTTGAACACAAGAAACGACACGGTGTAAACTTTTCCTGCAAAGAGTCATTACTCGATGAACTCGCAGGCTTAATAGTTCCTTAAATTTCCGAAATTAGCCAACGAAATCGTTCAAAACTGCAAGACCTGCGCAATGGCGAAACATGATAGGCATCCCCCGATTCCCTCCAATGCAGGGGTGATGATGCACATCGATATCTTCTCAACGGACAAGAAATATTTCCTGATATGCATCGATATGCATACGATCTCGATTATGCTGACTAAACACATTGGAGTTTATATCGAAAATACCCTTAAACAGTTTACCGAACGAACAGGTGGAACGACTTCACAGCTCTCACAGCTGGAACTCGCTAGGTGCATTAAAATTGACAAAGGTATAAAATACACCGTAGAGTTAATTTTACTGGCCACTACCAAGTACATTAAGTCAATTCATTGGGTCATTGACAGAAGACCAGCTGACGTTGTGCAGTCGAACTCGGATAATTTACAAATAGAAACCCGAGAGAAAATAAAAAGCGCCCAGAACGCGCTGAGAACCCGGGAAAACGCGTCTCGGCAGAATAAGATCTTCGAAGTTGGTAAAAACAATTTGGTAAAATTCAACACAAGGCTAGGAAATAAACTCGAGCTGTAGAAGCGGACCTGGGGACTAGAATGGTCCACATGGACAATCTTAAGCGATACAATCAAACAATTTCCTTTACGTTTTTTAAGTCATTTTTCATTACACCTTTAATCCACTTGGAACTATGCCACTGGCATAGTTTGTTTTAAATTTATTTCATTGGTGGTGGGAACCACTCCATAAACAAAAAATATCTAAAGTTTAATTCCTCAGGTTCGGACTCATACTTTGTCTATTCCTACCCTTGGCATCGGCCCATATCTACTGATAATAATGACCAAGTACATCCTCATCGTTGAAGGTGAAATTCGTCACGGACACAGCGAACCTCTCGACATGATCGACATGTTTCCGCTATCCCACATAAAGAAGCCTCTAAGCGTAGATACCGCTCACCTCCAGGACTTGTTAGAGTCGTTGGGCGTTCATAATAGAGTAGTTAAGAATTTAAATTTCTTAGGATCGATGCTAAATGTCGTAGCAGGGACACCAATTTTGAGATCGGCCAAAAACTCACAAGTGCTAGAAACAGAATGCTGATGAAAGAATTACAAAATTTAATGCTTGCAATAACCCTTGCTAAAATTAATATTGTTAGTCCGAATATTTTAGATCACGAAGACTTAAAATCAGTTTGGCTTGAGGAACCCACCAACACACCCATAGTGGATCTTTTGTCTGTCTCATCTGTAAAAATTCTGCAGTCCGCTAACATTTTGCATTTCATCATAAAATTTCCTAAAAATAAAAAATAAAATTTCCAGTCGCCCATGGTGAGACAATTTTGAGCCCACAAATCACCAAAAACTGAAATCTTCAAAATCTCAGGAACTATTAGAGCAAATCTTTAGGTGGTACTATTATCCGGCCACACCCACTGTTACGGCCACCTTGCTCGAAAGACGCTTTTCGCATTGTTGAGCAACTAAGAGTTTTTAATTGCTATAAAATAAATAAACAGTGGCAGTTCAATTTCCAATTTTTATTCCCAGTTCAAATCAAAACCAAATCAACTCCGCAACAAAACCGCGCCAAATGGAAGAGGTACAGCTCAACAACAAAAGCTTCGAGCTACAGCAGTGCTACAAAAGCTCCCAAAAGCGCATGCGCTACAAAGTAACAGTAAAGCGCATGAGAAACTGAGATAATCAAAACAACCTAGAAACTGCTGATAAACCTGCTGCTGCTTATCCTTCTTTGACTTTGGCTCCGCAGCTTGAAAAACTTGCAAACACCATTATTCCTAATGCTTGTAAATGCTTCTCATTGTGACACACACACACTAGCGTAAATTCAGAACGAAGGGGTGTACATATTTCCGGCACTCGAGGGCAAGAAAGAAATCCTCACCGTCGTGCATAGCAGAGCTCACAGGTGGTCCAAGAACCGTGAAATAGGGTTTAGGTCTGAGTACTACTTCCCGTAAAAGTTAAGTAAAGTAAATTGTCCCTAATTGCAAAACAAGTGCCAAAGCGAAATACGTCAGGCATTCGAAAATACAGGAGCTAGCCGAAACACCAATCCCGGCCCATGTCAGGATAAAATTACATATTGGTCTCCACGAACAAAAAGTACTTCCTCTCCTGTATCGAAAATTTTTCAAATTTGCTGTGGTGCAGCCGATTCCGTCTAAAACCATAGAGGATCTAAAATCACCCATGTTACAACTCTTGAATTTTTCCTCTAAAGCCAAAGCCATGTACTGCGACATTTAACTATCACTGAACTCGCTGGACATTTTGGGGTCAACATATCGAATGCGCCGCCCCTCCACAGTGTCTCCAATGGACAAGCGGAGCGCTTTCATAGCACGCTAATAGAGCTTGATAACTTAAGCTAAAAATCGCCAAAGGCATAATTAATACGGTAGAATTAATATTACTGCCAGATATAATAAATCTTTCCACTCAGTCATAGACAAAAAACTTGCTGAGGTCATACAGGCACACTCGGATGACCCTCAATACGCGCGTCAAAGCAAATTAAGAGGCGCCCCCCGACTAAAACCTTTTTCCCTGGGTCTTACGAAATATGCTAGAACCAGAAATTTGTTTTTTAAAGTATTTTAATTAGAGCTTTTTTGGTTTGTATAGGTACAAAAAATTATTTAAGAATGTTTTTTTAAATGCATTTACTTTGATGGTTTATAGGTTATATTTCATACCTCATCTCCAGGATCATAATACTGCTCCAAATACGGATGTGCAAGGGCTTCTTCGACAGGAATTCGTTTGTGCGGGTTAAAGGTCAACATTTTTCCGAGAAGGTCTAATGCTAACGTATCAGCATTTGGAAAAAGTCTCGACCAGGGAACATTTGGTTTAAAAGGCAATGATTCCAAATAGTTTCGAGCCTAAAGTCCATATTTTATATTACCGAAATTTAATTTAAAGAAAAGAGTTTGACTTGCTTTTTCATTTATAATGCATTCCAAATCATCACGGGAAGGTGAACCCAGTACACCCAGAATATGGTTCAGTTGGTCCAGATAATGTTTTCCAGGGAATATAGGTCTATTACTTAACATTTCAGCTAAAATGCATCCAACGGACCAGATATCGATTGATTTGGTGTATCCCTTCGAGTTCAGCATAATTTCTGGTGCCCTATACCACCGAGTAGCAACGTATTCTGTTAGAAATCCAGTATGGTCGTGTTCGGGATCTGCAATGCGAGCCAATCCAAAATCGCAAATCTATAAATAAAACAAATATAAAAATTATGGTTTAAAATTCTCAGAAATAAAATCAATAAGTGGTTATACCAAGAAGTTATTCATCGCTTAACCGTAGAATATATAATTTATTTTTTGAAAAGCATTTGAAATATAGATGGAACCGATATTCGACCCTATAGTGCATAAATTGTCAACTTATTAACGGCCATACTTGTGTCCGTATGAGCGCAAAGGTCTCCGGAATTATACAAGATAGAATGTTGGGATTAGCCATGCTGATCCAAGTGACCGTGAGAGACGCAAGCTTAATGCCATTTCGCCCCTTCTAAACAGCTGAAACTAAGCATTGAAAACGAACCACTAGAGATGCTAGCCCTAGCTCAACTATGCTTCAGCAGCCGCCAATGTATACTATAATTCTAACGAGCCACAAAAAACTGAGGAGTCTGACTGAAAAAACGCTGATATCTGATAGTATCTACTGATGTCTGATATCTACTGATATCTGATATCTACTGATATCTGATATCTACTGATATCTGATATCTACTGATATCTGATATCTACTGATATCTGATATCTACTGATATCTGATATCTACTGATATCTGATATCTACTGATATCTGATATCTACTGATATCTGATATCTACTGATATCTGATATCTACTGATATCTGATATCTACTGATATCTGATATCTACTGATATCTGATATCTACTGATATCTGATATCTACTGATATCTGATATCTACTGATCTGATATCTACTGATATCTGATATCTACTCATAGTAGCTATATGAGATAGATCTATACCTTATCTACAGTGTAACTACCGCTAACTAGCGGTTCGTCGCTTTTGCTCAACTGACCTCCCACCCTACCCTTTACTCGTAGCGTAAAAGGGTATACTAGATTCGTTGAAAGATATGTAACAGTTAGAAAGAAGCTTTTCCGACGCTATAAATATATTCTATTCCTATCATATATTATTGATCAGTATCAATAGCGAAGTCGATAAAGCCATGTCCATGCTCAACAGAGAATATTAATATTCACTTGGCTAAAATTAAAATCACTGTTTTCTATTTGGTCAGCATCCCTGACAACAACAATATAAATGCTGAATTGTTTTTCATGCAGATAGGCCGAGATAAGTCGCTGATCTCTAGGCTCATCTCACATTCGTTCTTTCTTGCTGGTGAAACATAAGCACGTCACTGCAAAAATAAAACACACAAAATCAAAAATTTCGGCTTTTCTTTAAAACAGACAGCAGCATGGACGATAATATATAGAAATGAAATAGGATATTCTTAAAATAGGATTCGTAATTTGTATTTGCCATTAGTGGGCACAGTTATATTTTGCGTGCGAATATTTAGGTCAACCACCAATCTGCCGTAGGTGTTAATGACGGTTCCGTTTGTCGCATATAAAGAAAGATATCTTTGTTTGATATTTTGCATAGCTCGTGAGCGGGGCATGGTTGAGAACTCAGAGGCCGAATCTATGAGGAATCTGTGGTGTGAGATGATGAAAATGAAATATTCGTAATTAACAATTAAAATTAGCGAAAAATATTTCAAAACGAGAAAACGCTTTAGTCGTGTTCCGAGTTGAACAGGACAAAGCGCCACATTTTGTAAAAGAGGATGTTAACTAAATGATTATGACGTCTTTGTCCATGTGATGCCTTATATCCTATATATCTTCATACATATATAGCAAATAATATAGTGGGCGTGGCCGGATGAAAACTGGTGGCGAGGTGCAATGGGATCTCTTCCAGCATCGGTTCCTGGTATTTTTGCAAGTATGGTTTTTCAGGTTTTGTGGACGAATCTATGAGGAATCTGTGGTGTGAGATGTTGATATAATGTCAAATTTCTAGTAGAATGTTTGGTTGGACTTAAACGTGCAAAGAAATTTGCACCTGAGTGCAGCATTTCCGAAGCTGCGATGGTAATAGCAGAGCTCTTGAGGCTCGCAGACGCCGCTGCCGAAGAAGGAAGCTGCAATGCATCGAATTGCAATTTAATTAAGAATAGGGTCGTTTTCTGACTCTCTTTACCGAACCGAAAACAATGAAATATGCGTAATTAACAATTGAAATTAGCGAAAAATATTTCAAAACGAGAAAACGCTTTAGTCGAGTTCCGAGTTGAATAAGACAAAGCGCCACATTTTGTAAAAGAGGATGTTAACTAAATGATTATGACGTCTCTGTCCATGTGATGCCTTATATCCTATATATCTTCATATATAGCAAATATTGCACCGATTTGAAAATCTTTAGTAAATCGATAGATATTAACAAAAAAGATGTTATACAATTGGGAGCATCTTAAAAACCTACATGTTTAATCCGACCTTTCTATCACTTATAGTTACCGAGATATAAGCTTTTCTAGAAAATGCGAAAACCATCTTTTAAGCTTGGTGGGAGTAAAATTGGGTGGGACCGGATAGCGGTATCACCATAAGATGCGTTGGCATCTCAAGATTATACATACTTAATCTAAACTTTCTAGCTTTAATAGTTCTTGAGATTCCAAAGATTTTAGTTTTTCTGTACTTGTGGGCGTTAGAGTGGCAGGATTCTGAAAGAAACTTGCGCTGCGTATGAACCTCAAGAATCGTTATTCTTAATCTCAACTTTGTATGTCTTATAGTTCCTAAGATCTTAGCGCGTTCATACGGACAGACGGACGGACCGACTCTCGCTATTGATCCTGATCAAGAATATATATACTTTATAGAGTCGTAAACGCTTCCTTCTACCTGTTACATACTTTCCAACGAATCTAGTATACCCTTTCACTCTACGAGTAACTGGTATAAAAATAGCTAGTGGAAATTCAAAGTGCCTCCTATTGTCAGAGAAAGCATGTTAAGTAACTGCTAGTGACATCACTGCCCATGTGAGGCCTTACAACCTACATTTCTTCATAAATAGCGAAATAGTATTCCGATTTAAAAATCTTTGTTAAGTCGATAGATATTGATAAAAATATGTTATACAAAGTCAATCGAAGACATACACTGTAATATTATGGATGTCACAGTTTTGCACGGATTGTGGGTGTTAAAGTGGGCGTGGCCGGATGAAAACTGATGACGAGGTGCAATGGCATCTTTTCCAGCATCGGTTCCTGGTATTTTTGAAAGTATGGTTTTTCAGATTTTGTGGGCATTCGGGTGCGAGTAGCAGATGGGAAAACTGTTCACATTTGGGAAATCATAAAATCGACATGCTTAAGTAATAGAACGTTCTGAATTTCTATAACTTATAGTCATCTACAAAATACAAAACCCTCTGCGCTGGAATCTCAAGACTACACATACTTAATCTCAACTTTCTTTAATAGTTCCTGAGATTCCAAAGATTTTAGTTTTCCCTGGATTTGTGGGCGTTAGAGTTGGTGGCAGGTACTCGTAACAAACTTGCGCTGTGTAGGGACCTTAAGAATTCGCCTGCTTAATGTCAACTCTTTCTGAGATCTCGACATTCATATGAACAGACGGTCGGTCACGGCTTAATCGACTTCGCTATTGATACTGGATTAAGAATAGATCTACTTTATAGGGTCGAAAACGCTTTCTTCTACCTGTTACATACTTTTAACGAATCTAGTATACCCCCTTTTACTCTATGAGTATCGGGTATAAAAATAGATCACAAAGTGCGTCCTATTGTCAGAGAAAGCGTGTTGAGTAACTGATAGTGACGCCACTGCCCATGTGAGACGCTACAACCTGCATTTCTTCATAAATAGCGAAATAGTGTTCCGATTTAAAAATCTTTGGTAAGTCGATAGATATTGACAAAAATATGTTATGCAAAGTCAAACGAAGACATACACTATAATATTTGTGATGCTTTAGTTTTCCGCGATTTGTGGGCTTTTTAGAGTTGGTGCTCGCTTTGTTAGGCGTAACAGTGGAAAGGTGGCCGGATAATGTTACCACCATAAATGCGCTGGCATCTCAAGATTATACATACTTAATCTCAATTTTCTAGCTTTTAATAGTTCTGACATTCCAAGATTTGTACTTTTCCGTGATTTGTGGGCGTTAGAGTGGGCGCGTGGCAGGATGCTGTAACAAACTTGACTCGGCCTCTCAAATCAACTTCGTCACCTCTCGTTTCGCAAATCAACTGCAACCCAACCATCGATCCAACCATCTCTATACAGGGATGGCGAGTCCTCTCTGTGCATCAGATAAGTGGGTACCGCATTTTCGCACTATCCGCTGATGCCAAGTACAACACGTCCCTCGTAGCTGTCGTTACTCGGTTAATCACCGATTATCACCCACAGTTCGACCTGAACTCATCTGAGTGGAAGATCGCAGAAATCTCGAGCTCGCCGACCATCACTTCTGCAAAAGTCAGCATTGACATACTTATTGGAGTATAGTTTATTCTTTGAGTTGCTTTGCATTGGACAAATTCGATTAGAAACCATTTGCCCACCCTGCGAAAACCAGACTTGGCTGGATCGTCTCGGCAAGATTAATGGTAGGAGCCTCTACGCGATCAACTTTAGTTTTCTCGATTCAAGAACCCAGCACTCAGTCTCGAGGTCCTAAGTCAATTCAGACATTAAAGAGAAGTGGCTCAGATTCTCACAACAATCACTTTTCAAAAAGGAGGATAATGAGGCGAGCAGCCATTTTTTAAACCCGGACAGCAACTCATTTTTCCGTGATCCACTTGGATTATTAGCCCCAACTATCACCAAGGTTAAGCTTGACTGGGATGAATCCATACCGGCAATTAGTCTCAGTTGGAGCACACAGTCACAGAGTCCAGGGTATCAGCAAACAGCTAGTCCGTTTAAAATTTTCATTTGCTGGAACTGGCTGTTCATCCACTTCCTCCTTCTTGTCGGCAGTGCTGGCGGTAGGAAGTGGAAGTGTACAGAAAGGGAGTCGCGGCGCGTAACATCTTTCTCATCATCGTCGTCATTTTCATCGACATCACCGTCGTCGAGCGCACTCTTTACGGCCAGCTTTCAAGTGGGAATAATCGGACACATGCAGCATGTGGTCCTCATAAGGAGGACAATTTACCTGCCTCTTTGGGTGGCGCCTCGGCACCGGTCTCCGGA